TGTGTTTCTAATTATATTTTGTTTATTGACGTTTATTATATATTCTTTAAGATTTTTAGTATCATTTTCGATAATGATTTTATTGTTTAATGAATATACTTTTTTCAGATTTTTTAGGTAAGACTTTAAAAATATTTGAATTATGTGGTAGAGAAAAATATAGGTAGGAGAGTAATTTTCAAATCATTTTAGGAGAGTAATTTCTCAACTAAAAATTAATAGGGATTTTTTTATTTTTACGTTGCCCATCATTAAAAACTTAAAAGTTGTTTACCATCTTTTAAAATGATCTATGTTAAAACGGTAGAAATGGAGAAGTACATGCAACAAGCAACATGTTCACACATGTTGACAAAAAATAATAATAGTAATAGGAAAAAACTTTTTCTCACTTTTCTTTTTAGTTATAAAGCAGCTAGTTCTTAGTTTGGTTTTCAATATTAAAAAAAAAATCGCAATTGGGTAATCATTCCATAAAAAATTTGTTGACAAAAAGTTAATATGACATTAAATTGTTGCTTCATTGAATATTACTGCACGTGAACATATTAATTTGACATGCCACTAAGGAGAAATTATTTTTTTTTCTTTTATGAATGAATCAAATTTTATTGATGGACAAGTTTAATTTCATATGAGTAATATGTATATGTATCCAAATATGTTAATAAAACTATAATTCAATTATTCATCTATTTTTGCTAACAAAATTTTTAAGGAAGAATCTAATTGAAAATTTTAATACATAACAGGAAAAAAATTAAAAAATTTAAAAGATAAAAAGAAAGGATAAATTAAGAAATGCTTTTCAGGGATTATTATGTATATTTTACCCAAAAAAAAAAAAAATACATATATAGTGCAATATATCACTTTTTTTAATACCAATTTGATGGTAACTAGTTCTTAGTCTCCCAAGATGAAAGCATGACAAACACACTTAAAATACTTTGAAAAACTTCAATTATTAATTATCCTGTTGTGATCTTGGGTACCATCCAGCACAAGAATTTTAGGGTGTTATCCAAATGTAAAGAACCTAATTATGATAACTACAACGAACATAAATCTTACTCACCAACCTATACAACGAGTAAATACTCGAATATCGGAAAAGCAGAATATCACCCACGTAAAAATAAGAGGAGAGACGAAAACATCTCATTCTCAAATTTATTAGTTAGAATCTTTCTTATGTTTTTTGGTTTCAGTCTCCCAATAGAAAAATGTTTCTCAAATCATATTCCACAACCATATTTATCACTTATAAATATTTCACTTGGCTCACTTTTATTTTCATCRAGTTAGAAATTGTTACGATATCTTTAACTATTTCAAATAAAAAAACTCACTATATTTTTTTAGATCGATAATATTTTATCACATTAGGCATTAATTTTGATATACTAAATCAAAATCCACTCTTTAGTAGAATATATATTCTAAAACACATTTCTTAAAATACTTTAAAAAAACAGTCACCCACTACAATTTTATGTTATTTTAAATCTCTACGTCTAATACCATTATTTTCATTTTTGTTTTTTAAATTCAAGAACAAGATTGGATGTACTAAAAATAATGCAATAAAATAGGCAACCAAGAATTTTACATTAATTTGTTCCTTCTCTATTAGACAGTCATGGAATGGATATGCTTCTTTGAACATTAATTTCAACATATTCTCATAAATTTGACTCTTCCCCACCAAGTTTCCGCACTAAAAAAAAACACATGCCCAACTTGCTCTCTTGTCAAAGGGCATTTATTTTGATAAATGATTGATTGGGTAGTAGTTGAATTTTTAAAGATCTAGCTTTTAATTTCAAAGGAGATTAGGTTTAAATTTAAAATGCACCACATAGAAGTATTTCAAAGAGATACTCGAGAATCCACGTTCTTTATATAAATTTGTTTCTAGGAATTAAGAGTGCATTTTAGCTGGTGATCAAAAAATATAAATCTATAAACAAGGGATTATATTATTTATTTTCAGTGTTTTCAAATATGTGTTTTTACGGTAGATTTGAAAATTGAATATCAATTTAAACTATTGCTCAAGTGTGTCTAGCCATTTGTAAGTTAGTATGTAGCAGTTAGGTTTTAAACGTCGATGTCAATAAAAATGTCAATGTCTCAATTTCATGAAGATGTTGATGGAAATATTGATAAAATGTTGATAACAATATAAGATGTTGATGGAAACGTGGTAAAAATAAAAAATTTGTAAAAAACTATTTAAAGAAATTAATATTAATATTATATTTATATTAGTGAGATTTTGTTGAAATTTTGAATATTTTCTTGATTTTTTTTTGATATTATCAAAATGTCGATTTACTCCTAGTATATCAAAGATAGAGGGAAATGTCGATAGAAATGGATAGATATTTAATACCATGGTTACAACTATATATATATATATATTTTAAATAATTGAATGGATATTTTATTTTGAAAAAAAAAATTATTATAATTCTCAATTCTCATGCAGTACCAATAAAGAAGGAAACTTATAAATTATAATATTATATAATTACATAGAAAAGACAAAAGGATGCAGAATGCTCTGTTCATCTATAAATACGCATCGACGAATCCAGAAAGTCCACAGATTCCGATTCAAATCGCGAGAAAAAATTTGTTCAGAGATATGGACGAATCGTCGTCTGCTAAAAGGTGAGTTCTGTTCAATCCTTTCAATTTCCTTCCACAATATTCGGAAACAAAAACGAAAATCGAAGCTCTGTTTCAGTGTTGCAAAATTCTCGATGAACGCTGCTTCTAATTTTGCAGGTTGGAAGGTAAAGTGGCCATAATTACCGGCGGCGCTAGTGGATTCGGGGAGAGCACCGCCAGATTATTCGTCCGGCACGGCGCCAAGGTGATCGTCGCCGACGTCCAAGATGAGCTCGGCCGGTCACTCTGTCAAGAACTCGGCCCGGAGAAAACCGTTTCGTATGTCCACTGCGATGTGACGAGCGATTCCGATGTGAAGAACGCCGTCGACGTCGCGGTGGCCAAGTACGGGAAGCTGGACATAATGTACAACAACGCCGGAATCACCGGCGAAATGGATCCGACGATTTTAGGAACAGAGGGGGAGAATTTCAAGAAGGTTTTCGAGGTGAATGTTTACGGCGGATTTTTAGGGGCGAAACACGCGGCTAGGGTTATGATTCCGAAGAGGAGAGGCGTGATTCTGTTCACGGCGAGTGTTGCGTCGGTGAATAGCGGGGAATCGCCGCACGCGTACGCGATGTCGAAGAACGCGGTGGTGGGATTGATGAGGAATTTGTGCGTCGAATTGGGGGAATTTGGGATTAGGGTTAATTCGGTATCTCCGGGCGCCATTGCGACGCCGTTACTGAGAAATGCGTTGGGATTCACGGAGGAGGCGTTGGAGGAGGTGATCCGGTCGACGGCGATCTTGAAAGGGGCGGTGCCGACGGCGGAGGATGTGGCGGAGGCGGCGCTCTACTTGTGTAGCGACGAATCCAGGGTCATAAGCGGGCATAATCTTGTGGTGGACGGAGGGTACAGCACCGCCAACCTCTCCTTCTCCGCCGCTGTTATCAGAAAACTTTCATCCAACGGTTATTAAAGCCCTGATCACTTTTTATTTTTGGAGTTCGAGAAATGGAAATTCACATTGAAACTATGCTAAAAGTAAAGAGTAAATCATGCATTCGAGGAGGAGTTATTTGAATGTTTGGAACAATGCAATTCTATATAATTTGAATATAAGAGAGAATTATTTGTCAAAAAAGAAAAAAAATTAGAGAATTAAAAATAAGTATTTATTGCATTCCACCGCTATACAAGCTTTGCCTTCCCTTTTGATTCGATATCCGAGTTGAGCTAGTCTCACTTTGAATTTGATTAATTGTCTGCTTTCTAAGTCTATGTTATTTTTTAGCCTAAAGAAGAAAATATGTTTGCATACTTTTAGTATTTTATGGAGAGGTCGATAATAGCCATTATTTCACGTCCATAGTCGAAATTGGAAGAGAAATTGGAAGACAATAGGATAAGATTTACATTGAGCAATTTTTCTGGGAGTCTAAGAAAAAAGGAATCTACTATTTTCACCCACAAATAAGTGTAAGAAATGATTTTTGTAGGTTATTTTTGTTCAATATTTATTACATGTTAAATTACTTGTTCGAAAATCATCAAATTTCATTTTATCCTATCTCTCTAAACATAGAATTTTTTTCTCTCTCTCAAATTTTAGCAAAACATAAGATCAAAAGCAATTATCAAACATGTTTGATAATCTATTTGAGAAATAGGCATGAATGACCTCTTTTAGAGCCAATAGTTTTTCCCCAACTTTTCAAAATATAAGTTTTTTATCATTTTGTCGATGTCATATTTGATGTGAAATGATTTATTTTATCTTTATTCAAATCACACTTTCTTCCTCTCTCTCATTCCTCTCTTTCCTATAATTATTATTTTCTTTTTGTTTCTCTCCCTCTTCCCTCCCTCTCTCTTTTTCAAAATCACTTCCTCAAATCCTCTTCTTCCCAAAATTCTAGTTTTGTAGGTGATGAGCGACAGTCCTTGTGGCGGTTCTATGTAGTGGCGTCTTCACCAACAACCAACATGCTCAAAATCTATGAGTTCCCTCCACGAATGGACCTAGCAAATCCACGCTTATATCCATCTCGCTCAAATCTGCTCTTAACTGTTGTGGATGAGAGAGAAAATTTCTTACCTTGATTTTTCTTTAATCAAGGTAAGATATAGAGGGTAAGAGAACAAGAGAAAGTGGGAGAGCGGAGAGCAAGAGCGAGAAACATGGAGAAAAAGTGTTGTATTATATGACTAATCTCGCTCTAGGTGATATCTCCACTCTTGCTCTAGGTGATACCACTAAAAATTGATTTTTTTATTTTCCAAAGAATGAGAATAAATTTATTGGAGGGGAAAATGATGTCTTTTCGCGTTCTTGCTGACATAAGCAAATAGATAGAAAACTTGTTTTTTGAAAAGTTGCACAAAAATTGGGGTCACTTCTGTCGTTTTCCTTTTTTTTTCTATAAAAAAACAAAAAACGATTATCAAACATGTATGATTTTTGTTTTAAAAAAATAAAAATGATTATCGAATGGGGCCTAAATTCTTAAAAATCTAATAAACCACTAGACTATATAAAAAGTATCTAATAAATCGTGTACCCCTACCTTGTGTTGTATTCTTGTCTTACCACTAATCTATTATCTTGCATTCAAGCTATACAACAAGTTTTCCAAAATGTTTTCAAATGTTTTCTAAAACCTGACTATCCGATTTCTTGTTAGCTGACTTGCTCGTGGGCAGAAGCAAGTGACGCACAATCGCTTTTTGAGTCCTGTTAAAGTGCGATTGTGACCGTCGCTCTAACTTTTAATTTGTGTTTAATAACTCTCTTACTTAGTAGACATTTCTTAAAATTTATGGACTTATTAAATACAAAATTTAAAGGTCATGATACTATTATACACAAAATTAGTAGTGCATCTAATAGGTCCATATGTTAAAAATATATATAAATTAGGTCAGATATAGATTCAAAATTGAAATTAAAACTAAAAAAAAAATTGAAATAACAAACTTACTAGACATAAAATTTAAAATTAATGGACATTTTAGACACATTTAAAGAAAACAAGGTGCACCTTCCTTTTTGGTGGCTCAATCGTAAGAATTCCAAGATTAAGTGTACTTTGCTTGGGGCAATCTTGGGTTGTGTGACCTCACTAGGAAGCATGTGAGTGAAGACAAAGCATGTTGGGAGGACTCGTGTTGGTCTAGTCTACGCTCTTCTAAGTGGCTCAGAGTTTGACGGTGGCGCGGCCAGGTCGTAGGGGAATGCCGGAGCAATGAGGTGCCGAATCCAGATTCTGAATCCTAGGCCTGGGACGTTACAAATAAGCTCAAAGCCGAAGACCTCACAAAGTCTTCATCAAGCTACAAGCCAAAGAACTTGATTAACAAGTCAAAGTCTTCAACAAGCTCAAAGCCAAAGACTTCAAATATCCTTCGACAAACAAGAAGCTGGAGGCATCAACCATTGATTCAAAAACAAGCTCACAAGCCCTTGAATTAAAGTTTACATTTGAGAGAATTAATTAGAGGATTATACATTAGAGATTGTAACACCCACATACATAAATACAAATACAAGTTTATTAATTCGAGTTTTCTCTTATTGAATTTCTCGTCCAATAGTGAGTTTAGCTCAATGGTAATTAGCACATGTCTTTGACCAAAAAGGTATAAGTTTGAATCCACCACCCCTACTTGTTGTACTAAAAAAATTTGTATCAAAAGCACTTTCGATGTTTCCCCTCTGAGTATCCTCGAGATATCTAAGTATTTCAAAGGGTGGAATCCATATCACTTGCGAAAGTAAACTAGTAATTTAATTTAGAATAATTAAATAAATAAATAACCTAACAAGAGATTAATGGTTTCATAATCTTAAGATGAGTTTTTTTTAGTACAACATGTTAGGATAAATATTCGAACTCATGATCTTTTAGTCGGATTTCAGAGATAAATGTTTAAATCAATTGAACTATGTTTAAGTTGACCTTAAAATCAGTTGTTACTTTAAAAAGAATTGGTCGGACTTCAGAGATAAATATTTGAACCCGTTAAACTATGTTTGAGTTGGCCTTAAAATCAGCGGTTGCTTTGGAAAGAATCTTTGGAGTGTCCTTTAGAAAGTAATTAATGAAGAGTTGAGGGGGTTGGTTGAAAATTTTTGATGACATGTAAATAGGGCAGATGATGAGAAGCATCTTTTTCGGTGTCATAATGAAACGGTGAGTTTTAATGCTTCCAATCCAAACACGCTTTTGGAGCTGCCCCTTGCCCGCATTACCCGGAGCTCAAGTTGCCGGTCAACGGATTGAGCTCCGTGCTTTCACCGAAATGCATAAATTCGGCTGCGCCCATTATTAAAACAAAAATCATATTTATAAAATTTCATTTATGATCTTTTTTTTTCTTTTTTAAAATTGATTTTAATAAGTTTATACAGTTTACATTGTTAAATTAAATCTTGATTAAACTAATAAGTGATATGCAATACACTTAACAAAACAATATTTACGACTACGACCGAGACTTTGTTAGAATTAAAAATTATATTAAATTATAAAGATGACATTAAATTTTTTCAAATGAACTAAATAAACACCATATATAAATATTGATACTAAGCCTTAAATTTAACTTTTCTATGTTATTTTTCTCGCTAAATTTTCTTATGTTTGGTTGGCCTTCATTTTCATTAGATAATTAAATTTAATCCAATTTTATAAAGTTAGGTTTAGATTGACATATTTACTATTAACCATACGGATGCACAATGCTTTAACTATTTGAGCCAAATTGACATAAATGAACTTAAGATTATATTGAATAAAAGAATTCTTTTTCTGGTTGACAAGTGTTTGGGGTCTCTTGGTCTTACCAACTTAGAAGTTTCAAGTTCGAAAATTTTCCATTGAATTTAATATAAAAAAACTTTATGTCTCTCAAGTTTGAGTCTTAAGACGGGTGCGAGTACCTTGGATGTAAGCTTCCAGTGGATAAAATATCTTACGGGGAAAAAAGTAGAAATAATTATAAAATATAAGCATTTTCCCATGTGGGAAAATTGTAGAAAGAATTTGATTGGGCGGTGGAAGTGGCGATGGAGAATGATCCAACGGCCGCGGCTTTCTTAATAATTAATTTGAAAGACCGAAACTAATTTGATATTTCAAAAGTCAAATTTGGGCTGCTACCCTAAACCAATGGCTGCTTTTGGCTAGCTTTTAAAATTTATTCTTACACCACTTCTACATTCATAGGAATCTTTTTCCATTTAATTATAAGTTTTGTACTGAACTTTTAAGATTATGTCTGGTATCTTGTTTGCATTTTAAAAAGTTTTGAATAGGTCTCTAAATTTTTAATTTCGTGTCTAATAGATTATTATGTGTTAATTCTATTTGTCTAACTATTATGTCACAAATAATTTCTACTTGTTCAAATCGGTACCACGTAACCTTTAAAAAGTACAGCCAACATGTCAAAGAAAAATATTAAGCTGATAAAATTAACATGGAACCTACGAAAATTTAGGTTCTTTATAGAAATTTTCTATAATATAAGAACCAAATTGATATAACTTATGTTTGAAATTTTTTAAAATAAAGAGGCCTATTATTCACTATCTTGAAAATTCAAAGACCAAACTTGTAATTTCACTATTTTTTATTATCTTCACTTCTATTTTTTTTATTTAGTTCAACAAATATGAAGACGTAGATTTGAACTTTTGACTTTAAGAAAATGTATAGATGTCTTATGTACTAAACTATGTTCATGTTTACTTCTCACTCGAGAATATGATATAAAACCACGTACCATTATTATTTAGTACGACCATGATAAAGATGGGAGATTAGACTCCGACCTAAAAAAAGTAATTGATTCAACGAGTTTAACCCACCATGTGGAAGTTGGTGGTGGGAATAAAGGATGGTTGGGGCATGCACCAACACCAAATGCTTGGACACCAAAAATGTTGGTGATTCAATTATGTTGATATGGTGGGTGAGATTTGGGCTTATTCTCACTCATTACAGCATACCCTAGAACAATAAGTTTATAAATGAGACTTTCAATTTTTGAAAATTCAATGTGTAGGGCCAAAATAGAGAGAGTCATAATGAAATACTAATAAATATAGGTTTGAAGGAGTAAATATATCATAAAGTCAAAGAAATTATACTTATAAATATCATTAGATATGAAGCTAAATTAGAAAATAGGTTTCAACTGCTGTTTTGGTCATGAAATTTTTTTAGATTAGTATATTTGTGTGGGTCTTTAAACTTTAAAAATTTTTATTTTAGTAGCTCAATTGTTTTAAAAAAAATCAATATATTATTTTATCACCAAATATCCACTCAATACTTACTCAGAGGATTGAGCAAAACAAAAGTATGATCAAAATAGTCAAAATTTTCAATTCAAAACTAAAATAGAACAAACACAAAAATTTAAGAACCAAAATAGTAACCATTCTTTTAAGTCCAAAATGAAATAATCATGAAATTCTTAGTGTTAAAAGTTAAAACGGAAGAAATTAACCATAATGACCCACAGCTTATTAAAATCAATCAGAAAACTTATTATAAACTTTTTAAACTACAGGGAAAAAAAATAAACAAACTTGTAACTAAAATATTTTCCACATCCAATTGAAAAGAGAAAAAAAGTGTGCAAAGTTACCGAGGGAAAACTAGGATTTATGTAGGAATAAGACATCGTCCCGTGATTCAACTTTTGGAGAATGGATTCAATCAAGTACGTTTGAAAAGTGAATAAATTTTCTTGAATTGGATAAAAATAGGAAATGGGAATGGACATTATTCTCATATTTACAGTTTCCCACAAGCCCAATTTCGTTGTCAACTACCCTTCATTTCATCGATGCTGACAAAGCACCTATAGCCACTCAAGATTTTCAAATATATAAATATTGAATCACAGAGTTTGTTTTTGAGATGACAGCCGCCATGGACAGCTGCTCCACGTTGTTTTGTTGGATGGTGTTCCTGGGGATGGCCTTGAGCCGATCGGCGGCGGCGGCGGCGCGCGGCGGAGATGGGTCGGAGCTCCACTCACTGACCCGGAACTTATTGGGGTCGGCGAGGGAAGGGGAGTTCATGGAGTGGATAAAGGGAGTTAGGAGGAGAATCCATGAGTATCCGGAGCTGGGATTTGAGGAGTACAGAACGAGTCAACTCGTGAGGTCTGAGCTCGACTCGCTCGGAATCAGTTACCAGTGGCCTGTGGCAGAGACTGGAGTGGTGGCTTCCATTAAAGGGGCGGCTTCGCTTTCTTCTTCCAGACCTGTTTTTGCTCTCAGAGCTGACATGGATGCCCTTCCTTTGCAGGTCCTCTCTTCTTCTGCTGCTTCTTCTATCAGACATGAAGTTAAAAAAAGTCATGCATGGAGATTATTTGCTATATTTTTTCTAAGCTATATAAAGCATGATAAATACAAAGCATGTCTTTCCAATTCCATATTTTGAGTGCAATCCAATTCACTTCAGATAAGGACTAGACTAATTTTACAACCATCTTGTTTTACGTTCTTAAAAAACAAAACAGGATGGTTATATTATAAAACAGTTTGAAAACGAAAACAAAATGATTATCAGGTGGGTCAAATCAATTCTCTCTCTTGCTTCTAAAACTGAAATAATTTTTCATACCAGAAAGGCATATCAAGGTACTCCAACTAAATTTCTGTGTTCTTCTCCTTCCTACAAAATTGAAATTCAACCTTTCTAATTGTTGTTGTCAATGGCGAGGATCACGTCAGGGAATTGAGTACAATGAGTCAGCAGTTTCAGATTCTCCAAGCTTAATATAAAGTTTATTCTCTTCATATAATTTTGAAGGAATTGGTAGAATGGGAATTCAAAAGCAAGGTAGAAGGTAAAATGCATGCCTGTGGCCATGATTCACATGTTGCTATGCTATTAGGAGCAGCAAGGTTACTACAGAGTAAAAGAGACAAACTTAAGGTAAACATTTTCGGACTTTATAATTGTAAATCTGTTTGTTTGATTCAGTTAATTGGGAAGGAGACTGACCAGGATTGTCTGAATATGTTGTTATTTGAAGGGAACTGTGAAGCTAGTTTTCCAGCCTGGAGAAGAGTGTAATGGAGCTTATAAAATGCTAAAAGATGAAGCTCTTGATGGTATAGATGGAATCTTTGCATTGCATGTTCTGCCCTCCTTACCAACCGGTGTCATAGCCTCTAGGCCCGGTCCGGTATGTGCTGGAGCTGGACACTTTTCAGCCTTGATCCGAGGAAAGGGTGGACATGCTGCAATCCCACATATGACGAAGGACCCAGTTCTGGCAACAGCTTTCATAATTCAGGCTCTTCAACAAATTGTATCCCGTGAGACAGATCCTCTTGAGGCAGGAGTAAGTTTCGCGCCCTCTAAATGATCTCCATAGTGTTATATACTATAAGAACAGAATAACATCAGATAAATTATTAACTACTCAAAAAGATTCAACATCTAGTCCAAACAACAGCTCAAAATGGTCATCGGTTCACTTGTTGAACTGGAGGGTGATGCATAGCCAAGCAACTCATAAACATGATCGTAGTTGACTAATACTCAGCAATGTAGGTGGTGACAATTGCATTTGTGGAGGGAGGGCAGGCAGAAAACATAGTTCCCGAGACCGTGAAAGTCGGGGGAACTTTTAGGAGCTTGTCTCCTGAGGGTTTCTCTTACCTTAAGGAAAGGATCAGAGAGGTATGGCATACAGTTGATGAACTTAACAAATTTCCTTATTACTTTTGAAACTGGGCAGAACTTAATTCCTCCTGAACAGGTCATCAATACACAAGCAGCAGTGCACCATTGTCATGCTGCAGTGAAGTTTATGGAGGATACACCAGTAATGGTTAACAATGTAGCATTATTTGAACATGCAAATATGGTAGGAAATAGCTTACTTGGAGAGTCCAATGTGCAACTCCTTCCATGGACCATGGGAGCTGAAGATTTTGGTTTCTTCTCCCAGAGGATTGCAGCTACCATATTTGGGATTGGGGTAAGGAATGATACTCTGAGATCAAACCGGCCATTGCACTCACCACACTTTGTCCTTGATGAGGAAGCCCTTCCCATAGGAGCAGCACTTCATGCTGCTGTGGCCATGTCATACTTGGAACATAATTCAGTTTTCAGTGATTAACTTCAATTTCGGTTCTGTAAGAAAAATAATATTTGAGGAACAAAGCATGCCAAAAGTAAGATGCACATATTTCACAAATTAATAAATAGAATTGCACTTCATTACTACCCCTGAAAATTTAGAGAGCTCTTACAAGGAGAGGACATTTTCTCTGTAACATGCTTTGCAGCAACCAAAACATAAAACTGAACACAATGAAGAAATCTTAAGCACCCTGTTTTTTGGGCTTTCCACACATCTAAGGTTGTTTTAAAAAAAAAAACAAAGAAATCATAGAAAGGGGTCGGTTCGAAAATATTTCAAGATTTGAGGCAAATAATTTCTTAGACAGACAATGTATAGTCTAGAGAGAGGATTTTTAATTAACAGTTTCTTGGTAAAGTGCACGATTATCCAAAATCGTCTCTCCATTTATTTTTGGTGGGTACTTTGAGCAAAAATAACATTCTTTTATCGATTCTTGTGAAATTTCCATTACCCTTTACCATATTTTTAAAAAGTGCATTAAAAATAACCAAAATCCATCCCACTTTTCCTGGCAGCATATTTCACCACATACGACTAAAACGACCAAAAATATTTCCTAAAAATTGAAGAGTATTTCACCACTAAAAACCAAAAGTGCCAAAAGTGTGGCAAAGACAGTAAGGTGAGTTAACCTTATCACTGCTGAATTCCAGTATAGAAATAATAGTCTAAAGAATCAAGATGTTGAACCGAGTGAGATCAATGCTGGAGCAGATAAAGTTGCCGATACCATATACAGAACGCCATGAATTAAATCCAACTGCAACCAGGTATTTTTCTAACCCCTCTCTCATTCATTTGGTTTCTTACGACAGACACATCCAACCACCTTTCTGCTGCAGCATAGATATTTGATAACAGCACATAGTTGCCAGCATTTTGAGGCTCAAGCTCAATAAGTCGAGAAGCGACCACTTCTGCAAGCTCAGAATTGCAATATAATTTGCAGGCCCCTAGCAGTGCACCCCATGCACCAGCATGGGATTGAACAGGCACGGATTTTATAAGCTCGTAAGCTGCTTTTAGTCTCCCAGATCGACTAAGAAGATCAACAATACATGCATAGTGATCAGGAGAGGGAATCATGGAGTATTTACTCCTCATGAATTCAAAGTAATGCCAACCTTCATCCACGAACCCAGCACGGCTACAAGCTGTCAAGATGACTGTGAAGGCTACTTCATCGGGAGTTAGACCTTCATCCAGCATCCTCTCGAAGAGTGACACAGCTTGATCCCCACGCCCGTGGATCGACAACCCTTGCATTATAGAACAATAGGAAATTAGATCTCTTTTAGGCATTTCATCAAACAGATTCATGGCTCTCTCCATGTTTCCACACTTGGCGTTCATGTCTATAAGAGCTGCCCTAACGTGAGCTCCACGAAGATCAATCAATAACTTGGTAGCATATGAATCAACCCATTTAGCTAAATCCAAATTACCCACTTGGGAACAAGCTGACATCAAGCTTGCCAATACAAACTCATCAGGTTTCACATTCCTTAAACCCATTTCGAGAAATGTCTCGACTGCCTCATTTGGATGTCCATTTTGTGTATACCCAGATATCAAAGCCGACCATGCGACGATATCTCTCTCAGGAGCTTGTTGAAATAATTTCCTGGCAGAAACCATGTCGCCGGCTTTAGCATACCCATCGATCATTGTTGTGAAAGATACAACATTCTTTTCTGGCATTTCATCGAATACCTTCTCAGCGCTCTTTAGATCACCCATTTTCATGCACCCTCCTATGAGTGCATTCCACGACGCCACATTTCTCTCCGGCATCGAATCGAAAAGCTTCTTTGCCTCCACCAAATTCCCAATATTCGAATACCCAACAATCATAGCCGTCCAAGAAACCACATTCTTCTGCGACATCCCATCAAACACCTTACGAGCACAGTCGACTAACCCACCCTTCCCATACACGTTCACTAAACTCGTCGTCACATATAAATCCCCATCAACCCCACATCTCAAGATGGATCCGTGAAGGACCATCCCTTCAATCACCTTCCCCTCACTCGCGCACGCCTTGAGAAGCGAAGGGAACGTATACCGATCAGGAACGCCGTCCTCCCTTTTCATACGCACAAATAGCGAAATCGTATCAACAAAATGCAACTTCTTACAGTATCCACGGACAAGAGAGTTCCAAAGAAAGGTACTGGGTGAGACAACACGATCAAAGACGGATGTGGAATAGAAGATGTTGGCAAATGAATTGGACGATGAAATGAATTGGGTCACGAGGAAATGATCTTGCTCGAGTCCTTTCTGGACGATACGGGCATGGACTTGCTTGAGGTCAATGGGGGTCTTGCAGAACTTGAGGAGATCGGAAATTGCGTAGAGAGAAGCATTGGAATTTGGCTTGGTGGTGCGGCCGTGGCTAGTAGCGATACAGAAGCAAGAGAATCGGCGGATATATGGCGGCATGGCCGCACTGGCAAGTGCTTGCATGCCATATGAACTCCAAATCCTCCTCTTATCAGCCGCAGGTTCACGGGGATTAGCCTCAAAATTTTACCATGTATTAGTTTTCCATTTTAAAAACTTTTGTTTTAGACTTTTACTCCTAAATTTGAACGTTTAAATTATAAATTTAATTCACAATTCTTTTGAATACAGTATATAGGGATGGTCCTTCCAGTAGATATATGTCAGTTAAGTTAGGTTAATTCACAAATATTTTTTGCTTGCATCTATTTATTTAATTTAAAAACTTTAACAAAGTCCCTAAGTTGGAGTGCAATTCCATCAAACCCAAACAATGATCCCTGCATATATATGAATATGTGGACAGTGTGGATACTCCAGGTATAGGACATAAAGGCCAAAGGATTGTCCGTCGACTCCCAGATAATAAAAAAAAACTCCTTAAATATGAGTATGGTTGAACTAATAAAGACATTATAATATTTTTTTAATGGTTGGAAGTTCGAAGTCTTACTGGTTCACCCACATTATTGAACTAAAAAAAAATTATACTTCCTATATCAGGGATAAAACTAAGATTTTTTATTTTTTGTTTTTATATCCATGAGTATTCGGGTCTAGTTTATACACACATCGACTAGTCTCACAAGACAATTGTCTAATCCTTTTACATTTGGTTGCCAAAAGACTCCTACAATATTAAATCTTAGACAGAAGATTAAACCAAGATTTAAATATGTCCATATGCATAGAAATGTTGATATCTTAATTTCATGAAAATATCAATATCAACGGATAATTTTGAAAAATTATTAAAAAAATTGTAACAAATATTTATATTTTCAATAACACTCCCTACTTATTTGAATAAGCTAAAAAGATATTTATATACTAGTCATACGATGTTGCATCGACTCAACCCGACCCGAATGACACCTTTATATATATTATATTTTTTAGATTATAAATATATAATAATTCTTTTTATCTTTAATCATTCCTAACCCTTCATGGTAGGTTAGGATTTTCTGCCTTTTCATTTAGAATCTCACACTCTCTCAACTCTTTCTCTCCATTTTTGTCTCTCACTCAAGCTTCCCATCGCCGCTTGCCTTTGCGGCTCCATCGCCATCGCCAGTGCAGCAGCAGCTTCAGCCTTCAGGTCAGCACTTCATTCCTTCTTTTGCTTTATATTTCTACAGCCCTTCATAGTACAGGAGGAAAATAAAGCCAATAAACGAACCCTTGCCCAAAAGTCACGTGCTGTTTTAATCTTTATAATTAGACAAAGTTAAAAGAGAATCAGTTCATAATTCCTAGACATTTTAAAGGCACATGTTTTATTCATCAAGGAGAGGTGCCAATTTGGATTCTTCCTTAAAAGCAAATGCCAAAGCTAAATAAATAAATATATAAATAAAAAAAAAAGGGTAACGATGCGTCGATTCAATCTAATTCAATTCAAAATTTTCGAGTTGGATTGGATTGGTCAGTTCGAGTTTGCCCAAACCCGACCCAACCATTCGCAATATAGAGATGAAAATATTGAAATTTAATACTGTGGTAAAAGTTAAAACACCCCTATTTTCGATTTGCAGTCGGGCGGCGTTACATTTCCAATAAGAAACAGAAAATAGGGCGCGAGAGTAGAAGATGGGGCTGTGGCTGGACCCTCTTCCGCGCGGGCAGCTAGCAACTAGCGCTTGCTTCTTCGTCGCCGGTGTCTCGTTCTTCGCCGTCGGAGCTTACTTCTCCTATCTCAACATCGCCCCTCAGCAAGCCCGAACCAAGGCTCGCGACGACTTTGTCAAGGAACGCTTGAGAAAGCGTCACCACGATTGATTAACGTCGCTCCATTTCTTCCGATCAGCATCCTCCTCATGTTTTTATGTTCAATTTCATTCTCAGGCATCGATAATATCTGTGGATTATAATTGAAATTGCCTCTTATTATGAGGTGAGCTTTGATGTTGAGTTGTTCCTCTGATTCTTTAACTATTTGGCTTATGTGTTTACATTTTGAGTTGTTTTCAAGACCATTTCTGTTTTACAGTGCCATTTCTGAACTTTCTTTGTCCATTTAGATCATCTACGTTTCTCTGTTTTTAGAATGTGCCTATTCATTTAATTGTTTAAGAACACAGTCTCACTGCCTCAAAATCCGTGGCTGTATGTGTTCAACGATCAATTTGAAAGACCTCACGGTCTTAGCAATCCAATTTCGTACAGCTAAGATTCTCTGATTCCCCCCCTCTTCAAGAACGGAAGGATGAAATTGTGGAGTGGCTTTGATTTCCTGGCTCTTCAATTTCCATCGCCAGGTACGGATTCTTTAGGTGTTATCGAGGTGATAAACTTTATCTTCCTTCCCTTGATGATATATCCTTGTGTTAGTTCCTCATAAACTGTCCAATTCGCCATGTAAGGAAGCGAATCTGGTGTCCAGTCGAAACACATTTCATTGCAATCAAACTAGTGAGACAAGAACAGTTTCTATAGCCCCTGTGAGAGTCTCATTAAGGTCTAGATTAGCCTTTTGAACTAATTGAGCTTTAAGTTTTTGAATGGAATCGTTTCTTTGTATTTAGTCTTGTAAATCCGTTTTAAGCCAATTTCATCTTAGAGGCTGATCTTGAAACCCCCATTTTATTTCTTTTAATGTCGCTAATTTATTCATCTATAGCTTCAAATTCCAACTGCTTTCTACATCTTCAAATTTATTTGGTAACATAACTACAAATTCAAAATTTACTTAGACACTTAGGGTGATGATTCGGTAACCTCTGTTGGCATTAAAGGGAGGTTGAGGTTGAGACGAGTATGAAAAGAAAAGGGAAAAAAATTAGAAGAAAGAGCCGTCACCATTATATTAGTTGAAGCAATTATTATTAAAGCAATCATTGAGTAATTCGAGTTTAGACATCACAAATTAGCAGGGGGTGAACTACAAGAGTCTAAGCTTTTTCCATGGATTCGTGGAAGTAATTGTCCTAGAAGAAGGAATAACTTTGGCTGTATATACTATTATTTGACACGAGTAGAGAACACCTTGACATAAGGCTTCAAGAATCCATTAGTGGCCAACTGAGTCGTTTGTTTGGTCATAAACCAATATGAGCAGAAGAATAATAAAGTAGGAAAGACTAAATATATAAGTCAAAGAATAGTGAAGTAGGGAAGACTAAACACGCAAATGAAGTTTTAAATGGAGTGAAATTTGTTTCTAGTTGAGATTGTAGGCATTATTTGAGGTTGTGTACTATTTCTTTTGATTTTGATATTCTAACTTTTTGATGCTTATTTGTTTAGTAACTCTTGTTTCTTTGCTATTATCAAATTTAGCTAGCATTTAGAAGTTCTATGACCATAATTTATGGTTCTATTCCAAACCACCAACGAAACCATGAGATAAGTTTACTGCTTTAGATTTTTTCTTTTTGTAGCTTCATGGTGGTGTTCAAATCATCAGAATTCTTTTGTAATTAGTCTCTTGTTGATTATGTTAGATTGGAAGACTCTTATGTTGTGAGTAGCTCGATTCTGGGAGGGGGCCTTCCCGTCCCTCGGGCCGTAGGATGTGAATGTACATACATCTTTCTGTTTCTTATAAAAAAATAAAGTAATTTATGGTTTCATTCATTCTTATAGGTCAATAAAAAATTGTGTTGGAGAACAAAAGTATGAACTTTGGAGATGGAATGGAAGGGACAAAAATATAGAGGTTAGCACGGCAGTGTCAAAGTGCTTAGGTGCCAAAGAAGTTGGTGTTTAGGGATTATGAACGTTTTGCCCGCGCCGAGGCGCTGGAACTTAACACTACGTGATCTAATGATGTATTTAGTTGATTTTGAGGGGTCTTGGACAGAGGAGATAGCAACAGTTGGAGACGACTTCTTGGACCATATGCTTCAACTTTCTTCGTTATTTTTTTCTTTCTTTTGTTTTATTTTGATGTTTTTTTTGAATTACTAGTTTCATTTTTTTAAAAGAAATTATTATTATAATTATGTGGTAGATTTTTCTTCTAGTTCTATGATGTATAGCTTCTTACACAAACTTTTTTGTATTATTTTATTTTTCATTAATGAATGTCTCTTCTTTTTGTTGAGCTATCCAAATTTGAACTTAATACTACTAATACAATTATTAATAACATCATTTTGGATCCTACTTGAGTTCAAGAGGAAAATTAGGTTAACCTACTTTTAATATTTAGCCGTAGGATATACAGATGTTTAAGAATGGTTAAAAAAACATTTGATCTATATACTTTTACTAAACTAACAATTTAGTTCCTGAATTTTAGATTGTAATAATTTAGTCGCTGTAGTTTAAAATTTGTAACAATTTAGTCCTTATTATAGCAAAATTTATTAAAATTAAGTGTTAAATTTTATCATATAACAATTTAATCTTTTTCATTTATAAAGATATTTGGTCCATCTTTAGTTTATCAATTTATATATAAGTTCTTGAATTTTAGATTGTAATGATTTAGTCCTTTAAAATTTGTAACAATTTATTATCTATTATAACAAAATTTATTAAAATTAAGTGTTAATTTTATCATATAACAATTTAATCTTTTTCATTTATAAGCATATTTGGTTCCTCTTTAGTTTATCAATCTATATAATATAAGAAACTTAACAAAAAAAAGTTTCACGATAACGACTAAATTATAACCAACTTTAAATTACACGGACTAAATTGTTACATATTAAAGTTCAAGGGTTAAGTTGCTATCAATTTCGTACATGGACTAAATCGTTACAAACTAAAGTTCAGGGACTAAATTGCTATTTTAGCGAAAGTAGAGAGACGAAAAGTGTTTTTTTTTTCTTTTTTGTTTAATGCTTTTTGATATGTTCTAAGTTATAAAGATGTAAGAAACTTGTCATTTTAATTTGTTTTGCTAAAGAAAGATGAGTGCATAAAATTGAAGAAATTTGTTGTCCACAATCAAGGATAATAGAATTTATTAATTAAAATGAAGAAACTTTAGAAGGATTAGTGGAATCAAAATTTCAAGTTTGAATTTGAATTTAATTTTTTTAGTTCACTCACAGTTTTGTTATTTAATTAAATAGGTTGAGTTTCAGTTATTTTGACGTTTCTTACTAAATTAATCGGCCATGCATGGAATAATATTACTTACAATTATATTATTTGTATCGATTCATCATACATTCTGAAAACCGTTACCAGTAATCTACTTTTTGAAAAACCGTTGTCAAATATCGTAGCTGGTCAAGCTATTTCTTGTGTTTGAAATATTTTTTATATTTAAAATTTTGGAAACTTATTTTTAACTTTTTTTTACTTTTGGAAACTTGAAAACAAGGAATTTAGTAAAAAAAATGAAGTTTTATTCTAGGTTATTTTCGGTGTTTTCAAATATATGTTTGGTAATAGATTTTGAAAATTGAATATTAATTTGGAAAGACATTCGGTATTTGCAAACTAGTGGTAATTACTAATTAAATATTTAGTAAACACTTATTAAAACCAATCTATCAAATATATATTCACTCGTCATGTCACCGCACTTGTTCGGATCGTCGTGTGGTGATGAAGGTTGACAAGCATGATCGACCAGAATGTGAGTCTCAGGAAGGATTTTGCAGTTCCATGGTTGCATATTTAGACGAGCACATATTGTGACTGAGTCGTCCAGTACCTGGGATCGTAAGTCCCAAGTTTATATATGAAGAGCAGGTCGAATGAGATTGGTGTTGTCTCTTCTTTCTTTTTTCTGAATAATACTAATCGAGAGAGTCTCATTGGTAAGTGTTACAAGATCTCATACATTTGAACTCATGGTTATGGAACCAAATCCTTTAGATGAAACATTTACGTACTTATCTAATTCTTTTTCTTTTTTACAATTTCTTCAAAGCTGTAAAATTTTTATCGGTGATAATCACAAAAATAGGTTCGACTCGTAAATATATCTAAATATTGTTGAAACAATTTCATAGAAGGGAAAGTGATTTAGAGTTACATTACAAATAGTATAATCAGTTTTGTCTGTCACTTCCAATGCAAAGCTTTTTGTTTTTTTTTCTTATCCTTCCCTTGTTTCCTTCATCATTTCTAAAAGCCCGATTGTGCCCTTCAAGCATCATATTTTGTGTTGAAAGAATCTCACTCATAAAATAAAGTTCTTGTAGATTTCAATATTGGATATATTCACCTTATATAATGATGACTAAAATGGTAATTTTATGACCTATTTGGTAAGTTTACCTTAAAACTTGTCATTAATTTTCTAACCTTAATCCTATAGGTACAAGAAGTTTGGGTTTAAAAAACTGATTTGAGGTACATCGTATTGTTTGAGAGCTATGAGTTTGTCTAATAAATTTCAAACTTGACAAATCCACGGACAAACATATACGAATTCAATGTCTGGAACCAAACCCATCAAACTCACAGGACAACTCGAGATGATATGTTGCTTTGGAGATACAAACTTTTAGTAGAGAGATCTTAATATAAATATCAATAAATTTAAAATTATTTTTTTATGCAAAATGATGTATTCAATAGAAAATATTGCTAACCCTTAATCTCTTGTGACATAGTTGACTTTCAACGACGGAAAATCTTAGAATGTGATCAGAGTTAAATTCTTTAGGGCTATTCTTCAAATTGCGAATTTTTGTTCGTCTTCTCAGTTAATAACTCTTAATCAAATCTTGGTAACTAAACATTTTCAACTTGATAATTTGTTTAGATGAAAATGGGAGAATTTTGAATGGCCTACAAAATGATTTGATTAATTTATGAAAACTTTCTTTTAGCATAAACAACTATTATTGGTATTAAAAGAATTTACCTCTTTTAATATAATTTAATATCTCAACCGAACACCAAAACGAGCTTAACTTAGTGATAATTGACATATATTCAATTCAAACAAACGCGACAAACACCAGTTAAGGTTAAATGTTGATACTATCAATGTGAAAGAATATATACATATTTTTCTTTTTAAAATTGTTTTCATCTATATTTCTAGTAGTTGTGTGTTTGTTAATATTGTTTGTTGGAAAAAGTCATGGGGTGCGTCGGCCAATATATTTGGCATGCATTTTTCTCTCTAACCTTCCCTTTGATTTCCATCCCCACAAAAAAAAAAAAAAAAGCTCTCTTTTGCTTCACAAACACATCTTCAAAGTTGCAAATATAAAGAATCCTTTGTTCAAATGGATCTCCAAACACAACCCTTTTACCAAACACCAATTCTTCTCTCTTTCCCCATCAACAAACCTCTCTGTTTCACTCTCTCTTTTCTTCTCCTCTCAGTCTCTTCTCTCTTCATCTTCAACTTCTCCGCCAGCCCCTTCAACCACCATTTCTTCTCCCATATATTTCCCGACCGCAGCCCATCCCCGTCCCTGTCTCCGTCCCCGTTCCCGAGAGCTTGTGATTACTCCTTTGGCAGATGGGTTTGGGATGAAACTTATCCCTTCCAATCCTACACTGAGAATTGCCCGTTTCTTGATCCGGGGTTCCGGTGCTCTCGAAGCGGCCGGAGAGATGAAGGCTACCGGAAGTGGCGGTGGCAGCCGGAGGGATGCGATCTCCCGAGGTATGAATGAATGGATAATGATGGTTAGTGAAGTTCTTGCATGGGATTGGAATTCTTTCTTGTTCTTTTTTTTTCCTTGTCGATTGTAAGTTTGTGTGCAAAATTATGAGTTTTAATTAACGTATGGTAGTGTTAATTAGAGCTGTTTTAGAAAAAATGCAATGGGAAATACTAGCAATGATTAAAGATATCAAGAAACCAAAAAAGAAAAAAGATCAAGAAACCAAAGAGGGTATAATTCTTGTGGGATCTTACCAAAGAATTGGATGAAAATATGGGAAATCCAGATTTTCGTCTTAATTAAGATAATAACATTCCAAAACAATCTTAGAGAAAATCAAATCATTTTTAAGAAATTTCTAAAAGAAAGATCTTTTTTTTTATTTAGAAAAATCTTCACTTTTTTTTTTAAGTTATATAAAAAAAATATTTTTTTTTCTACATTTCTTTCTTCTACGTCAAAATTGTTCATTTAACATCATGCACAAAAACGGAAATAGGAGTCCATAAATATTATTAGCTCATTACAAGCCTTAATAAACCGTGTGGATTATTATTATTATTATTATTATTATTATGGTGAAGGTTTGCATGTATGTTAATTAATCTTGAATTTATCAATTATGAAATCTTTTCTTGTTTATATTTATATTTTTTTAATACTGTATTTCGAGAAGGACTTGTATTGCATTGCTTGTGAGGATAAACTGTTTTATACTTCTTTATTTTGTTTACTTTTAATAATGCAAAAATAATATTTATAAGATTGTATATAATTAATCCACCTATTTAATCCATATACTTAAAAAAGAAAGTTAATAAGTCACTAAAACTTTTAAAATTATATCTATTTATTAATTAAAAAAATGTCAATAAGTCACTGAACCTATAACAAGTGATTTTATGGTTGACTATCCGAACTCAACATTAATCTAAGTTCGTATTTTTGTCTTCCGCAACCTTAGACTCAATGCGAGTGAGCTGTTGGAGAGAAGTCGAAACGGGAGGATAGTGTTTGCTGGCGATTCGATCGGGAGAAACCAGTGGGAGTCGCTGCTATGCATGCTAGCACATGGAGTTTCAAACGTTTCAACAATATATGAAGAAAGTGGGAAGTCAATAAACAAGCACAAGGGATTTCTCACAATGCGATTCCAAGAATACAATCTTACAGTTGAATATTACAGAGTTCCTTTTCTGGTCATCATCGGCCGACCTCCTCGAAACTCGCCCAGCGAAGTTCACGCCGCAATTCGAGTTGATGAGTTGCATTGGTATTCCAACCAGTGGGTTGGTGCAGATGTCCTAGTTTTCAATGCTGGCCACTGGTGGAATCTGGACAAGACTGTTAAAATGTACGACTTCCTTCCTCTCGACATACTTTTTAGCCAAATTTCAAAAACCGAAATTGAACTCGAGACACAGAAGTACAACCTATAGAACAGATCCTCTTCAAGTAAGATCATCAAAATCATTCAAGCTAGCTTAAAGAGATTCTTTGTTTTTGTTTTCAGGGGTTACTATTTCCAAGAAGGCGGGAAACTGAATATGAGTATGGGTGTGATGGAAGCATTTCGGAGGTCACTGCAGACATGGAAACAATGGGTAGAGGAAAATTTGGATCCAAACAGAACCCATGTTTTCTTTCGCAGCTATTCTCCTGTTCATTACAGGTAATCATGGTGTCATGAAATCTGTATTTCAGCACCAAGATTGTTGTTTATGATGACACTAGATGATCAAACTGGCTCGAGGTACAATACAATGGTTTAGAAGTTTGGAAGGCTTTTTCTACGTCCTGAAACAAGCTTTTGATGCAAAAACTTGCAGGGGTGGGACATGGAACGAAGGGGGTCACTGTGACACTGATGAGGAGCCAGAAAGAGACTACACACAGCTGGAAGATGAACCAGAAACCAATACTTTCATTTCAAATACTATCAAACAAATGGATTCTGTAAAGCATAAAGTTCAGTTCTTGAATATTACATATTTAACAGAGTTCAGAAAGGATGGCCACCCTTCCAAGTATCGCGAGCCTGGCACGCCTGAGGATGCTCCACAAGATTGTAGCCACTGGTGCCTGCCTGGAGTACCAGATACGTGGAATGAATTTGTTTATGCCAATCTTTTGTCAAAAGGATTCAGAAAGTAGTGCTAAGTCCGTCCAAAAGAATTAACTAACCTCATGTTTAGAACTCTAGTTTCCATAACCATACATAATGCAAGATTGCTTCACTCAGCTTCTTCCTCGGTGTTTTCATCTGAGTTTACTTCACTGGTTTTCATTTCCTTGACTTTCTCAAGCTGTCTCAACAGATTCAACCGTTCTTGTCCATATGTAGATGGTATCTGCCAACGATATTCCGTTCCCTCTTTATATAAATTAGCATCAAAAATAAATTCCAGCAACGTAACTGTTGAACATTTGGAAACCATACCAATGCTGGTACATATCTCTGGATAGCAGCCAGCATAGCTGCATGTCCAACTGCTGTTACCTGGGAATATTAGTGGAAAACCATAATAAGTCAAACCAAGCCTGTAATATCAATCAACCATGTTTCGTACAGCTGTCTAAACATTAACAAGAAAGATATGAAATAGGAGCTATGCCTTTTTGTTTCTTCATTTTTCTAGTATTACACCTCTAATCTACACGACTTTGATTTTGTTACTGTTTGTGTAATCTCGAAGCACCATGCTCAATATGCTATCTTCTCCATATTTTCAGTAGTGCGAACTACTATTTTTGGATCTCAACGATGCAACCCAATGTTGGAGCACTTTGTTTCTAGGAACCTGCTTTGAGTAACAATGATCCTCCACCTTGGTTATGATTAAAATAAGAAATCTTTAGATTTCTGCCTTTCAAAAATCTCAAAGCACCATGTTTGGTATTTTATCTTCTCAATATTTTCAACGGTGAGAGCTAACATTTTTGGATCCTCACGATGCAACCCAATGTTGAAGCACTTTGTTTCTAGGAACCTGTTTCGAGTTATCGTGATCCTCCACCATTGAGAGAAAATTCTACTCTAAATCAAAGAAGACTAATTGAAGGAATTCAAGGTTATTTCATGCACCTTCAAAGATACTTATTCTTTTTCCAACAACAGACTTCAACACGACCAAGAAAAATTCAAGCTGGGGAGTTTGAAGGAAGTACAAGGTGAATGATATCAAAATCTATCAAGAGAGACCAAATTCAAAGGTGAAGAAGTTATGATCCGTAAGACTTATTTGGTGAATAGTTCCCCTTGTCTAAGAGCGGGTGAAATAGTAATGGTGGGTATCCCTAATAAGTTTGGACTCAAGTCTTGGTTCGTATTGCTGACTAAATTTTGACGAGTTACAAACCCCGGGGTATGGTTTGGGTAGCACATTGCTAAGGACATGTATCTCATGACTGCCCCTTGTGGCCTTATCTATGGATCTTGCCTAGAAACATATATGACCTCGTTTGTGGTTCTTTATAAATAAATCGGCTTGATTAATGAAGTGAGGATAAAAAAAAAAAAAAAAAAAAAAGAGAAAACTAATCATGCCAGCGAAGCTAACTAATCCAATTTTGTAGAGCATTGAAACGTACTGGAAGAAGCATCAATACACCAATTGGAACAACAGATGCTAGGTCGGTAAGGGTTCTTCGTAGGGCTTTCTTTTCCTTCCCAGTTAACTCATCTCCACTCAGGGCCCTCCTAAGCAATCCCATAGCAGCAGCAACATCAATAGCTAGGAGTTGAGTACCTTGCCATACATCCTGCAAATCAAATAAATCCCTCCATCAATGACACAATTCTTATGTAGAGGTAGAGAAATCAAGCAATCATACCAAAACACCATGAAAAATTAAAAATTAAAAAAAAAATTAAAAAAGAGAGAAGAAAAGAAAAGAAAAGAGAAAGAAAGAAAGAAAGAAAGAAAGCAACATAAGTGGCCAAGGCTAGATGGTTGACAGTGGTGCAGTTTGATGTTTGAGGTTTACTTACAGAATTCCATCAAATAATTTAGAGTTGCTAAAAGTTAATATGTATCCTCTCCTAAAAATTGAAATTGAATGTGGCGACCATGATCTTTGATCATTTTATTTAGTTAGGCTGTATGGAGTAGGTAGGTCTTGCATATAATTCAAAATCTTTTAATATCCAAGCTGGTGACCGCAGAAAGAAGAATGAGAAGGGAGCTTGTATCAATCAACTACAACAGAAAATAGGTCGATGTGGAAGCAGGACTTCTAGCAAATAGACATTCCCCACATAACGATAATACAGAAAGCTGCGAGGATATGGGGATCCATTCAAACAGGGAGAAACAGATACCAAAAAGGAAGATATCAAACTAAGAGTATGATAAAATTACTAATCGCTAAACACACGATGGTTGATTCACTTAAAAATGGCTCAACTTTAGTAAATTCAATTGCATGCCCAATCACTTAAACCAGAGGCAATCATGAGATTATCAATCTTTAAGTCAAGAGGCCTTGTACCGTTATTAACTTGATGCTTAAAAGGAAACAACAAAGGAACTTCATCAAGCAAAGAAGCCCTTTACTTTATGAAAATAGCTAAGGATTGTGACTCACAAGACCAATCATTTTGTACCATTAATAAGACTATAAGAGCATAGTTTACCCCAACGCAACTACCCATCTTTGACATGATAGCACAAAACATCGTATAACAAACTGTCAAAATACAGCAGTCGTTAACAGACTAAAAGATATAGGATTACAATTAAATTATTAGACTTCAAACCACCTAGCTTAATTGTTGGAAGGGGGTATGATACTCATACCGTGCTAGTTTCCTTTAGTTTGTCAATTGATTTTTCAATAATATTGTCTTTCTTCTGAATCTGCACTAATTGAGTGTTCTCAGGATCATGGAAACTACTTGCAGTATCATCTGTATTCTTCGAATCCTGGAGAAAGAAAGATACATGTGATTAGTCTGTAAAACCAAAAAATTAAATTTAATGAAAGCCTAGATTTCTTATGTATTTGTTCTTTCAACCTTCTGTAGAGGGGGAATAAATGATGGGAATGGGATATGGTTGAAGATCTCGGAAAGAATACTTGAATGGTCATGAAAAAAATATTAGCAATGAGTATCTAAGAGACTGATTTGACTGAACAGAAACAGTGTCAATAATGTCTAGTTGACTAAGGATCACATTGCATTTAGTCGTATTTAGTTGAACCCAAAGTTTTAGTCACTTCTACGCATCTAGGGAACTGTTCGTGGCTATAGTACAAGAATGTATTATTATTATAGTTGCAAGCCCAAAATTATGCACAGGAATTGCCAGAAAATAAAATGAAGCAACAAAAAGAAGTCCAGCTTAGCAGCTTTTAAGAAACTTCTGAACCAGTTTAATTCCAAGACAAAACTGAAAACTCCCGACAACAAGATGTCAAAATTTCAACAGTTGATACACTAATGAGTTTGTTGCTTTAAAGGGAAGGGGAGAAGTGGTGAGTGGTGACATCTGAACTCCACAAACATAAAAAAAGACGATTGCAGCCAGCAAACTTAATAATGTACCTCATCAGTATCTGATTCTTCAGAACTTCTCTGTACACGCTTTTCAAGTTCCATTAGCTCATTTCGGAGAAGTTCAAACCGATGGAATTCATTCAATTCTGTGTTTGTTAGACCTATATCAGAAGTGTGGCGTCCAATGCTGTCCTCCTGCATACGTAAAACGGTACTTCAATATATCAGGAGTAAGCATGCAGCTTTGGCCAACAAACTACATGCTTGAAATTCTGGACCAATTTTCCTTTTAGAAAAACAAAAGACAACAAACTAATACATTGACCTTTTAAAAAACAACACCTAGAGTGCCTTCAGATTTTATAGAACATATCTAGGCTAGTGTTTGGATATTATCCTTCTACATATGACAATGATGGCTACACATGACAGGGTACTTTGTTTCCTCATGTCAGCTACAATAAGCATCTTATAAATTTCCATTTTGAAGGCTAGTAAACGAGAACATGGAAAGAGAATTCAGAGACCTAATAACAACGAAAACTCTCACAATAAAGGATCACGAGTTCTTTCAAATAAAGAAATAGCTTCCCAATTAGGTGTAACAAAATGGCTATCAAACAGAGTACATCATAGCAACATTCTAAATACAAGAATAGTGCTTCTTTTGAAGATTGAAGCTTAGGATTCCAATGATCATTCACGTTGGAAACTCGCATGCTGTTGAGAAAGTGTACATAAGAACTACATCTGTTTTTAGGGAGGAAAAAACTGTTTTCTACCTTGAATTGCACATTTGGTTGGGAAACTTCTTAAAGCTCTTTTTAGAAACAAAAAATTGATTTAAAAGTTTAAAAATGGCTTTCTCCAAAATGCTTTATCTCCCACCCCCAAGCCCTATGCCTGATCTCTTTTAGTCTGGTTCAACCCAAGGCAGTTTCCATTAGGATTGAAGTTGAAGAATTTATTCCAGCAAGTTTTGATGAGGAATCTAGAGGAATCAAAATTCATATTAAAGAAGTTGGAATACGAGGCTCCTACTCACTCTTTTAAAGGAATTGGAAAATCAAGTTCTACTCTATCTTCTGAACATGGGCCTTGGCAATGGTTAACTGACGGATGGAAGGAGCTTGTTTCATTCCCTTCCAACCAAAGTTCTACACAAAATAACTTCTTGTAGGGTTCCATCGAGTTTGAGAAAATACATAACAAAGAGACATTGTTACTGAAATAATGATTGTGAAACATGAATCGAAGGGAAATACATAACAAAGAGACATTGTTACTGAGACAATGATTGTGAAACATGAATTGAAGGGAACTATTATGGCCCAGCAAGTTCGAACAACTCAGACTGGTTCTGCTTCTTCTAGCAGATTATCCTCAAAATAAAATTTCCCAATTAATTATAATCTATACCATTGTAGGAACAAAGCAATTTACATCTTATGAACGACCAAATATATATACACACACACACAAAATACAATATACAGACTAATAATACAATAAACAGAATAAAAAATTAATCATGTTAACTTTTGTCTATTCAAATTCGATATACAAATTTTTATGCTTTTAAGGTGTACAACAATGACAATAGGTTGTAATAAAAAAGATATAAAAGCAATTGTTGTTAGATGAATGTAAAAAACGTAACTAAATTAAGCAAATAAAT